AAACACTGATTTTTGCGTCCAGGGAATTGGCCTAGATATGGTCTCTCTGTGCTATGAGCTGCGCAAGCTGGAGCTGCAAGGTGATAAACATATCGTGACTCTTGGCTTCCATCTCGATCCGCCTGTTCTCCGCCTGGGCTCGCATCAACAGCAGCTGCCTCTGCGACTCCAGCTTGGACCTCTCGATCCTCACCACTGACTCCCCAAGCGAAGCAACCAGAGCTACGAGAGCGTCCTTGGCCAGCCAAGAGCTTCCACATCGCCTCATCGAGCCGCCGCCACACCTCGTCTTCTTCCTCCTGTTCGCCAGCGCCCGTGGCTTCCTCTTCAAACCAGCATCGAAGTTGGAGAGCTCTTCCTCCACCTCTTCCTCTTCGTCCTCCTCTTCTCCTTCTGCGTCTTCGTCCTCCTCTTCAAACTCGTTGTGATTCCCATCACCACCACCACCCCGATGGCTCTCGTTTCCACCATCTTCGTCAAACTCGTCGCCATTCACCTCGGTGTTTGTATCGTCCAAGGAGGAGAAATGGTGGTGCCTGGCGGATCCAAAGTCGCCGTTATACGCAGCAGCGGTGGCAGTGGCAGTGGCGGCGGCGGCAGCTCCTTCCTGGGCTATCAATCCCCTGGCAGCGCTCGCAAACATGGCGTCCATTCGAGCAAAGTAAGGCCACTTTGAGGAGGAGGAGGAGGAGGAGCCCTTGTGCATCTTCTCCTTGAACTTCTTCTTGAGGTCCTCCACCTTGTTCTTGCACTGGAGCGGAGATTTTGGCAGGCAGCGCAAGCCCCCGGCCGCCGCAAAAGTGGTGGCTACCTCCTCCCAGTGCCTGGCTTTGAGGTTGCCCCACTCTACTTGCCTCCATTTGTCCTCGTAGATGCTGAGGAGCGTCCACACCGCCTGCTCGCTCCATACCTTGCCTCCTCCATTCTGACTCATCTCATCACCGCCCTAATGCAGCGTTTTCTAAACTTCAAAGCGACATGAGAGCATGCCTTCTTTTGAAGAAGTCCCCTCTCCCCAAGCAAAAAAACATTACCTGGTAGATGATATACTGTAAGGATTTTGGAAATAAGTCAATTTTTCTGCGTTATAAAATTTACAATAAGTAGAACTCAAGAAGTATTTGAGCAAGAAAAACGCTTGGCCGAAGGAGATTATGTCTAATTCTTTTCATACTTGTAAATTGCTTTGTGAAGGATCTGGATTGGAATCTCAATTGGGGACAAATGGGCAAAGTTGCATCCCAATGACGCTCATCAAGAAGCTGTTTGGCATTCGACTTTGAAGCAGGTCTGTGCCATTTCCATGTCTGTGGTGTAGTAGAAAACTACACAACTACTGTATTTGCTGACATGTATTGGGATCTCTACATCCACTACTAAGCTCCACCACTTTGCCATCGTTACTAATATTGCTCAAGTTGTAGAATTGAATTCCACCTGAATGGTGAATATCTGCAATCACTTGCTCTTCATCCTTGAATTCAACTTCATGCAGCGTGACATGCCACTCATTGGCATTTGCCCATATCTGCCATCTCCATGTTTTAGAACCAAGCATGGACTCCTCTTTAGATTGTATGTGTTGTACGTATTGAAGTCCTTCACAATCAAGATGCAAATCCTGCAGCTCTAACAACTTGGATCCACAAACAGTTTCACTTGGAGCTGCAACCACATCCTCGAATGGTTCAGTCGGATAAAACGAATAAATCCCAAGTGGCAACCATTTGGAACGTTGATGAAATTTCACCAGTCTCCAACTGTGAAGCCTGCAACATCTTGTGTGGAGTGACCCCGGGATAGTAAACAAAAACTGCCTCGTCTTTGTTCGTTTTTCTCGCTTGTTCTATCCCCTCAAGAGCAAGAGAGTGGAACAAAACTTATGTGTTCCATGCAGAGATTGATTTTTCTTCTTCCAGGGCAACTGCAACTGCGTCTATTTCAAGCTTGTTTCAGTCTTACACAAGATGAATGGATTGCCGCCAATGGTGGCTGTGATCCAGCCCGGCGTAATTTCCTCATCACGCTAGTCTTCAGGCTTGCATACCCATTTTAGAGGAAGAAAAAGTCTTTCTCCGGGCTTCATGCTACAGTGCCATCTCTGCGTCGTTTTGGTTTGTTGGCCGGTCTGGCAGCTTTTGGCAGGAACGAGCGTTCTTTGGAGATTTGCTGAGGCGTGGAGCTTGAAGAAGGATTTGCCGCCTCTGCTCCGTTAGCCTCCTCCTGTTCCTCCCGCTCTACATGCAGCAGCAAAACTAAGGAAAGCTCAAGACATATCAATTAATCTTACCTCTCTTCGCTTTTAGAGCTGCTGCCTTGATTTGCCGCCTTAGAGCTGCTGCCTTAACTGCTGCCTTGGCCTCCTGCAGAGCTTCTATCTTGGCATCCTCCTCTTCCAGCCGCTCTACATGCAGCAGCAAACTAAGAAAAGCTCAAAACATATCAATTGATCTCACTTATCTTCTCGTCCTCGTACAACTTGTGCACCATCAAGGCGCCAATGAGTGTTTCGCTGTACTCCATGATCAACTCGTCTGTGGCGCCCTTGGGAACTGACATGGACGGATATTTCCCCCACGCGGCCCACTCCTGCTTCCACTCACGATACAAATCCCGATACTCTTCGTCGAAGGCACTCTCGAGCGGAAGGGTGGCAGCGGACATAGTGAAGCGCACCTGTTCAAAAGATTTTAGATCCAAGCGTTTCTCACAAATATGCCTACCCACTCTACATCCCGCTCCGCCCGACTCCGAGCCTCCATCGTAGCTCTTGTCCAGCGTACCATGTCAACAGCCTTAGGGCACCAAACTCTCCATCCTTCAATTATGCCTTTATACCAGGAAAGGTTATGTGTTAACCTTTGGACTTCGAGCTCCATTATCTCGGCTCGGACTCCCGCACATGTCAAGAATCGCTGTGCCCACCAAGACGTTGCTGGAATCGATTGCATGCAAGCTCTCCAGCTTGGCGCATGCCCTTTCTGGGCATATGCAATGATCAGGAGATACAAAAGAGACATTGTTCCTCTGCGGAATCTGATCAAAGGCTCAGGTGACCCATGAGGTCAGCAATAGTCAACACCGGTCAAAATGCGTGGAATGCTCACTCAACTAAAGATTTGGAGATGCCGGGTGCCTCTCGCATGCTAAGCGAGTGCTCTACCATCTGAGCTACTCCCCTCAACACAAAAGATCCAACGCAGGCTTGATCATCGATTCTTTTCATTCACGGGATTGTGTTCGACAGAAACTTACTCCGGGAATTTCCTGTGCGATGAGAGCCTTCGCGAAACATCTAGTTCAATACACTGGTATTGAGCTTGCGAGCTTTCGGATTTAAAAGCGGTTTACTCAAGAATCACACATAATCGTCGTCTCTGTCTCTTTCCTACAAAACTTTTTTCTCCCTCTCGGCCACTTCTTACTTGCTAGACACCGCATCTTGCACCGCACATTTTTCCCGATCAGACAGCTCCTGTGGAGAAAAGCAGATTTGTAACAACACGTTGATTTACAAAGGTCTCACCTTGAAGAATTCACTGAATGCAAGCGGAGCTTCTTGTGAGAATCTCTTCATGAAGTCCACCAAGTAAGCTTGGAGATTGATCTGCAATGTGGCCGACCGGCGTCGCCAGAAACACGTTTTGCATATCACGTAATTATCGTAACGCTTACCTGATTGATTGGATCAACTTCATCGCTTGGTTCGTCCCCATCACTCTGTAAAACGAAACGAATATCAATGCCACAGCTTTTTCTCCAGGGATTAGCTCTTACCACGTCGCCATTCAACACGTCTTCGTACAGATCAGCAGGCTCGAAAACAGACCGTAGCGATTTATTGGCTGGCACTACATCTTCCACATCATTCCCGTCCGGGTTGCTAAGCTCTTCCCACTCATCATCCTGAGAGAAGCTGAATACTTTGGAATTCGAACATTTAGATTTACCTCATCCACGAAATTGCTGGCTGCCTCTTGTCCTTCGACTAGACCACGAGCCAGGAGGGAGAAAATCTGAAGTCAGGTTTGTCACCGTTAAAGCCATTCATAACCGATCAAACCTTTTGAAGTGCGGAAACTCTCGTAAACTGGTCAGGTTGCAATTTGGATTTCGACCTTGTCTTGATTCCACCAGTAGCCTGTAAACACAATAATAAGAAAAGCAGTATTTTATGCTGTGACATACCTCCAGCAAGCGTCCTTCGACTTGAACTTGTGAAAGTAGAGGGTGTCCAGTGGCTAAAAGACTTGCCAGAGCTGTTGTACTCACTTTGATCTGGTACGAACCTTGAACTTCGTCTAAAAGTTCACTTTAGCATGCAGATACAACAGAACAATCTTTACCGTGGCATTTGGTCCATTCCGCCATTACACATGTGAGAGAATCTCCATAACCTTTCGAAGGAATACTCCTCAACAGCTCGATAAATTGCCCATAGTTAGGTGCGCTCATGTGTACCTGTTTGGGAATATAAAGGCTGCTACATAACCTTGACCAAGAACGTACCAGCTTGGCGAATACAAAGATCAGGGAGCCTTTGAGTGCCACACTTTCCAAACGTACCACTAATGCCGTCACGAGATCTCTGAGGTGGGGAGCCATACGCAAAGAAAACTTTTCAATAAGCTGTACGATAAAAGTGCCAGAATAAAGAGATCCGGAGCTATTTGTTTGCGGGTTCAACAATCTGTAAGAGATTTCTTTAGTATACAAAAGTTTTGTCGGGTATTATTACCTCCCAGCAGCCGCCAGAAGCATCTTCATTGTAGAATCAGCGTCAGTGGCCCAAGCAAGCAAGTTCTCTCCTGCGCTTTTGACAAAGCCAGCTAGACACTCAGTTGCATTCTGTCGAGAAAGCAAGACATCAGGAAACCGCTGTCTGTTAACGAAAAGCTACCTGTAGCTCGCTATCGTCATTCGTCTGCAAAACTATATCGATAATGGAGGTAAAGAGTGCATGATGCGCGTGCTTCAAGATGCTGAGAGGCGCGTTCTGAATGCATTATCATATTAAAGAACAAACAAACGAAACAAGTAAAACGCAAGGAGAACGAACGAACCTTGACAAGCATGGTGAGAAGATCTAAAGCTCCCGCTACTTGTCCTTCCTGCTGACTTCGTGGCTACACTTTGAAAACAAACAGTTACGTAGACCGCCTCAAGAATACCACTTCAAATACCTGACACAAAACGCCAGTAATAGCAGGAAGCACCCGCGCTGCAAGAGGCTCCATACAGCCAGGGGCATTTTTAACAGCCTGCATAAGCTCTCAGTCTTTTTCATGTTAATCAGATTTACCTCTATAGCACTTAGTGCGTCTATGCTGATTAAGGGATCCCTGATATATGTCGCCCATACGTGCAGTAAAATGGGAGATAACATTGCCTCTGCTTCAGGCATGTGATCCTTGTCTGAGAAAGATCAAGGGTAGTCATGTGAAAGAAGTCAGTAAATAGGCCACTTACCAGCTTTTATTGCGGATTGCAACGCATCCAAAACAATATGCATAGTTTCTTCAGACCCCTGAGAAATAGTTTTTAGCATGATAAAGAAAAAGAATAGCATAAGAGCAAACCTGCTGCAAGAGTGTCGCCAGTGCTGTATAGAGTGATCTTATATAAGGCTGTGAGCTTCGAGACTCAACTTTTGGCAACAAGGTGGAAACTGCTTGGCATGAAGCCACCATGATTGGAATATACCTGCGACAAACAAAAGGTTACAGAATAGACTATCGAAACAGGACTTACGAAGTATCAGACAGTCCTTCTATTGCAGTAAGAAAGAACTTCTCTTGTTTGTCCTTGCTAATCTGTAGAGGCGATCTTGATCAAACTATAAGAAACAAAGAATGAAACGTTCTACTTACGCAGGAAGAGAATTTTGCAACGGCCCATAGAGCACGGCCATATAAAAAGGGACACAATTTCATTCCTGAAAAATAACTTGTTCAGAAGAAAAACTGGTAGGCCTTACCTTGTGATAGGTCGTCAACTAAAATGCGGTTAAAAAGAACGTCAATGCTGAATCCGGGCAGCTCATCGTCAGCCTAAAGAAGCATTGTAATAACATTTAGAATTATGAATGAAAATACCTCTACACAAGATCCCAAAGTTAATAATGCCGCCTCGCGCACCTGCAGCATACAGATGCACAAACTGTTAGAAACATCCAATCATGATATACTTGCCTTCCACCAGCCAGTTTCACCCTGAGATTTCGCTCTGTCTGCATCTTCCATTCTTCTACTGACAGCTTCCAGAATAGCTAGTGTGCCTTCGTCCTCGTAGACACCAACAAACTCCTGGAGAAGCAAGACCCCTGAAATGAACTCACGAAAATCAAAACACACCTGTTTAGCTCTTTTACCTGACGTTCTGCAGCTACAGGATAAAGTATCTTCCTCGGCCAGGAACTCACTCGCGTCTCCAGACCAAGTCTGGACCTGGAAGGCATCGGTTAGAAACTTGGAGCACGAAAAAACATGATACAACTTGTTCTTCAGTCATCTGCATGTACCCTATCGTGAAGTACGCCAGATCTTTGATGCTCTTGCGGATAACCTTCATCAATGAACAATAACGGGGTTGTCTCAACACGTAAGCTTTGGATTTACCTCACAGTATCGTGAATGGCCAACTAGACATAGTAGAAACTCGAGCAACTGCAAGAGAGGCAAAGAATGAAGATAAATTCCAGTTCCCGGCCTCTTACCTGATTTGCGTACGACTCTAAACTTTCTTCAGAGCTTTTGGGATCAGCCAAGTCTACTTCGTCGCCGTTGACAGCAGCCTCCACGTAAACTTGCAGGTCTGTGACGAATGTATGCCAGAGTGGGGAAAGAACAACTAAAGAGAATTGGAGATGAGACCGTCAGCATTTGTGAAGCACTTCTATTTACTTGTGAAGTCGTTGAATGCGAGTTTCGAAAAGTTCATCACAATTTGTTGCAAAGCTTTGATAGCCTGTAAGATTCATTAAATCTTCAGTCTCAATCAACATGAAAAAAAGGAACTGATACCTCCATTTTGAGCAGCCAACTATCCGGCTCTTTCGGCCGGATTGTTTGAAGAAGTACTGCCGCAAATTGTTCCAACCATCCCTTAAGCATAGGTTTCATCAGCGCCTTCGTTTCTGACTGCAGAAATAATCAGCATCAAAAGTAGCCAGAAATGAGAAACACATAACTTGATAAGCACCACTCATAACCCCCAGGGTGGCGATGCAGCTATGCAACACATTCAGTGCTTCCTTTCGAGTCGACGCAGCGTAAACCTTGCAGGGAAACCGAATTATTTCATAACAAAGGCTTCCTTTCGAAAAAAGTTTATCGAAACAAACTTACGGAAGATGTTGAGATAATGTCATACAAAGCCGGGAAAAGCACAGGCACCAGGTGTGGGAGTTGTCTATCGTCCATCTCGTCAGCAAAAAGGTAGAGGCATCGCATTCCTCCATTCACTGCATCATCCAGAAGTAGGAAAAACCATCGTCTCAGTACATGTTACCTTTGTTAACGTCGGAGCGATCGTTTATGCACGCAAGGATGAGCATCATAAGCTCCGGCCATTCCTCTGGCCAGTCGGAAATGGCAATGCATGCAATTACCATACCCACAGCGGTTTGTATCTTCTTCTCTGGATCACCCAAACCAAGGGGCAACAGCTTTCGAATCATTTCCTGGGAAAAACACGAACCATCCTTCACAAAAAGCCGCGACAAAGCAATAGAACTTACCTTGTCTTGAGGAAAGACAGTGAAGTCATCGCCAATCCAATGCTTCTTCACGTAATGCTTCAAAAGAACCGCAGCTAGGTGAAATCCGTTAAAGGAAGCGCTGCGAGGAAAAGAGAAGAAACTAAACTTTCCAAGGATATCTGACGCACTCCCAGCGAGAAATCGTTGTTCAGTGTGATTCTGGCGAGAGCAATGCCATATCCTGCCAGGAGAATCCAAATTTACTCCAATGACCATGTGAGAGGGGAGAAAAACCTGTCTTTCTTGATGCCTCCGTAAGAGCGCCTTCCGCTTGATTCCTAGCTCCCAGATTGGGATCCAGCGTCGCATTCAAGCAGCTGACCAGCCAGAGATCATCCGCCGCTGCCATTTCGCTGCGCATTCACATTCCCCAATGAGAGAATGATCGAGCCCGGCCAAAACCCTTTACAAAAACCCTAGCAAATGCTAGTTAATATCGACCTTTTCTTCTATGTAAGAAACTTTTGCAATCCAATGCCTTGGATCGAGAGACCACTTCCATGACAAACGAGCCCAGCTTTTGCGCAGCGTCTTTCGTGGGAGCCTGGATTCATCCATGTTTTTAAGATTTATTTCACTCACCTCGATGTTCAGTCGTGCCTCAGTAAGAACCATCCTCCATATCCCGAAACTCTCACCTGGATCATCCAACAGTGAATGAGACTTGGAAGAGAAAAGAACGAGAAAGTGAAAAACTCACCCCTTCGTAGTTCTTGGGGGCTTTGGTGAGATTACTATCCGAAGACAATGACTCCTCCAGGTGACACAGAACTTCCTCTCCATACTCTCGAAATGTTCTGCACAGAAAGAGAGAGGAACAATCACAGAAAAGTGGAAATCAAAAGACTCACTTGGAGCCAACGTCTTGATGGCTCTCGTAGATTTTTAGCCGGATCTCCGTTGCAAATCCTGCCCCTTCGAGACTTTGGATGGACATAAAGAATGCTTTCTTGAATTGAGAACTCAAACAACCGGCAACCTCCTACTTTGGCAAGACAGGTTCCTTCCCATCACCACGTACAATACTTTAAATAGACTAGGTTTTGTGCGAGCTGAAGTTGGCTTAAGGAGCAGCTTGAAAATGGCAGATCTTGGCAAGTTTTGTCTCAATAGAAACAACAAAAGCATGTCAAGCAAGTAAGCAGATTTTCACTGAATAATATGTTCCTACTTTAGCATTGCAAGTTCATAAACTCTTGAGGTCTTCATCAGTAAGTCTTTTTACTATATTGTGGATATGTGAGCCAATTGGATTTCTGCCCTCTCAATGTACAAACAGTGGAACATTTCAAAGTGTTTGTTGTGGCCATGATGAACAAGGTTCAAGATCATTTGCAGGCATCTTGCGTTGTCATTGTAGATTGCCAGAAAAATCTTTACATCCATAACAATTCCTTGGTTGCCTTAGTTTTCTTAGGTGAAAAGTGAGACCATTTTCTGTTTTTTTACTCTGCTAAGAAACAACTTTGTTGTTATTGATCTTAGATTGCCCAAGTTTTCTATTAAATTTGCATCAACCATCCTATATGGCTTTCAAGAATCTGCACTAATATCTCTAGCTTCTGTGTATCAGAACTCTATGCCAGGAGATCAATATAATTGAATATAGGAAAAATTATTTCAAACTTTGCAAAAATATAAATTTTCTCCTAAAAGTTCTAAAATTACAATTTTGCCTCTATGAATAAAAATATCATTACTCAACCTTTAACACCTTTCAATTACAATAATTTAAAATATTTACACCTAGAATAGGAGAATTATGATAAATGTGGAGAAAGCATGGAATAAAGATCAAAGGCACCACCCCCAAATACCATTTGGTCATTACCAACAAAGAAATGATTAACAAAGTCAATCACCAATGCTACTCTAGTTGTCACTCATAAGTGATATAAGGAGAGAAGCCAAAGGCTCATCCTTTATAACCAAACTCACTAGCAAGGTTTAGATAAATTATTATAAATAAGTATTGAAAGGTTAATCTTCTAAAAATAATAAGAGAAAAGTGGATTATATGACCAATTAATAGTAGTGCCTAGTATACACGTGTTAAGCTAATGCAAGACATAATAAAAAGAACTAATAAGTTGGGCTAAGTATATTTGGCTAAATAGACATTTAGAAGTTCTCATCCAACCAAATGTAGATATTAAGTCTAATTTACTAACATTTGAACAAAAAAAACCAACAATACTAACCTCCTACTACGGTGGCATTAAGAGAATAATATTTGAAATGACTAATTGACAAACACCTGTATTCACATAAACAATAATATTCTACTCATAACATATATTCAAGAGAAAAAAATAAAAGAAAAAGAAAACCAAAATAAATTAATCAAATTTGCTGCTAGCAAATCCATAATTATGTCCAATTTGATGGTAGCACCCACTACAAAAAACCCTATTATTTTAACTAATGTCTTTCATTCATACATATTTTTTCTTTGGATTATTAGGAGGATGATATGTTTTTGGTAGTTATGTATTATTCTTGCACAAGCCCTTTAGATCAAAAGGATAAATAAGACTTATTTATACCCCATAATAAATCTCAAGTGAGTAATAAGGATACATGTAAATTATATATACTCTTTTGGAATATAATAACTACATGATACCAATCTTTTGCCAACCAAAATAAGAACAAGTCTTTTGGCAAGTTTCACAACTTAAATGTGGGGCTAGTAGTGAGCATGGCTAAATGCTTCATGAATCTAAATTAATATCACTAAACTTATAAAAATATATCACTAATATCATCCTAATCTCTATGCCCTTTAATTCAGCACTCAAAGAACCAAATCATCAACTTCAACCTAACATGCAACTCACCTTAAGTAATCAAGTATTGAAAGACATCACTATATTAAATATCAAATGTCTAAAACATTTCCTTAAAAAAGAGCAATTGCCTAATGCCTTCTATCTATAATAGATTGCACCTATGAGGTTACATTTTCCTTTTTCCTATGTATTTCACTCCTTGCCTCTTTACAAAAAACTAAAGAAATGGCTTAAGTAGCCTTCTATAGGAGATGACAATACAACTTTAAATCAACTAAATAAATTTAAAACCCAAAGTATTATTCACTAGATATGTAGAATACTCAAGAATGTATCACTTAAAGGATATAATATCTAAATCCAACCTTCGCAACAATTACCAAAACAAAATGAATATTACAAAAGCTAACAAAATATTTGTTCATGCCAACTATCACTCCAATAAATCTGAAAAGATCTTAATCAACAATACTAAAAACCAAAGTTGCTCAATTAAGTGTTAACAACATTTTACTAATATCTTAAACTCAAAAGATTAATCCAAAAACCACAAAAAATATATAGTAATGTAGAAAACTAAAAGCTATAAAAGATAATGACTAACCATCATAAAAGATTGTCAATCATTCCATCAAGAAAGATGTATAATTATCATTGAAGAATAATCCACCATTTTGAAGAATAATGAATTATCTACCCTCAATAATAACCAAAACGAGAATAATCAATTATCCTTATATGACAGTTAATCATTATCAATGGTTACTATATGCAGACAACAATTTTAACATTAAAGTTAATGAGTCAAAATGCCTTCTCCAACAACTCTTAACAAATAAAATAATGAGTATAAAACCTCAAATAACCAAAAACTCAAAAACGCTAATAGCTAAGTGTCGTATCACTTTAATCACAAGTTAAGTACAAAAAAACTATGCTCAAGAAGTGATCTCAAGACTAATCCTCTATGAATCCATCTATTCATAATAAGATGTAATTCACTTCATAATAAGTGTAATAAAAATCATCAATGATCAATATCATTCAAGTTAATTGATCACTAACTCTTTCTTTAACTTGTCATTTAATTTATTTGAATGCCAACATAGCTGTTAACTAGCAAATGCACGAATGTTAACGATATAAAAGTATAGCTAAAATATCAATACTATTATTGTGGACATTAGTAAAATAAAATGTCTATTTCCAAAGGACCTTAACCAATACCCATGGATGGAAAATCTAAATTTTTAACTATGCCAATGGAGAAAATGTCTCATCTCACTATAAACTCAAGTCTAATAATATCAATATTAAGTAAATCACCACTCAAAGCTCTTTTACTGGCGAAGTTAACTAAAGTTGAAAATACTTTATTTAGTATTCAAGACTAATCCTTTAATAATACTTAAATATAAATAACACATAATCCAAGAGTGAGTTACCACATCCAAGACTTAATGCAATCTAATACCATAAACAAAATGCAACTAAACAATATTGACAAAGGTGGAACTTATACTAACATGGAAAAACCATAAAAGCCCAAGAATACAATCCTCCACAGTACCATTTGGTAAGTAATTCATTATTGCTAAATCATCATCAAGATAAATAAAGTGTCAATAATCCTCAACAAAGTCTACAAAAAATCACTAATCATAAAGCAAGTAATAACTATTCTTCAACTTGCCTTCACAAGACCCAAATATTAAACTTATGTTATTGAGTTCTATATTTGTTCAATGGAAAGGTAACACTCTAGGCATAATGTATAGAAACATGGATAAGTATGGATAAAATGATTATTCAAATTTAATTAAATTGGAGTGTGACCACTCTTGAGTTCACAAGCTAAAGAGCTAAGCTCAATGAACCTAACTTTGTACTATTTTTAACATCTCTTTGTATTTTATATAAATAAAAAGATTTTGGACCACTTCCTCTATTGCACTTGTTATTGTTCATGTAGGTGGAATCATTTTCTTCTTCATTTGATCATGTAACATCTGAAGAGAAAGCTTTATTCCCACATATCTTACTTCCTTAAATGTTAAGGCTTTTGAATATTGTTCCATAGCACATATCAAGTTTTATAGACATGTATCGTACAAATTTATATTCCCTGTCTTTGCCTCAGAGGAATGTTAACTCTAGTATTTACTCTTGAAGAGATTTACAATTGAAGTGTATAAAAGGTCCTCAAGTGGTTGATCTTAATGAAAAAAACAATATTAATAAAGAAGAAAGAAGAGAAACCAATATAAAGAGAATGATATCCTCATTGAAACATTTGAACTTCAAACTACTTCAACCACAACTCAAGTTGTGGTAAACAACTTGCATTTGTATAACCATTTTTATACCATTACATTTCGATCTCGTTTGTTTTTGCCTTGTGCTCTTTTTAAAAAATTGCAACTTACCATTATTTGCATAAGTTCTTAAATGTTAGTTGGAAATCTAGCTTGATAAAGTGGCAATGTTGGTCTAGGCTCTAAGCTTAGTAGAACTCACAAATCTTTTCACAACCTTCTAAAGGCTGACCATTCCTAAAAAAATGCCTAAACGTTATTCTAATTAACTCTAACCCCATCTGCATATGAAAGTTGGCAGGTTTATCAATTTGCTTTAGCACAATATTAGAGAGGGACTTCCAAAATATTTCATACGCCATTTAATTGTACTTTATACTCTATTGTCACAATTGTTAAATTGGAACATAACTTATGAAAAGGGCAATACTTAAAACCATTATAAAATAGTGAGAAAAATAATTACCCAATGCCTGCTCTATATAATTAAAATATACCCATGTATTAGCAAGGTCATTTGACCTAGACAATATTTACACTAAAAGCAAGGTTTATAATAGACATTTTGAAAATGAAAAGACACTTTTACTCACTACTGATTTGATTTGAAAATAAACTTCCATAAATAAACTTGTAAAACAAATCTATTTTATACATTTCAAGGAAGTAAGAAACAATCAAGGTCTATTTCAAAGGAGTGCAAATTGTAAAACGAATTTGGTATGAGAGGAGCCACTTGTTACTTCAATCTCAAAAGCAGCAGTGGCTATGCATCTGCTTCCAGCAGAATGCTGGAGAAAGTGTGGCGATCAAAGATCACTGGGCACCCCTCAAAGCTTGCTTGATCTGCCTCTGCTGCCCGTAAGCTTGTGACAAAACATTCCAGGAGACCGCATTCCGCCGCAGCATCCCCTCAAACATCTCCTTAGCTCGCTGCAGATTACCATTCTGGTACATTGCCATGTGTTTCCAAGCCACGCTTCGATGCTGCCCACAGGCATAAGCGACCCCCTAATCCTTTAGCCTGGTCTACAAGCCCGTTGCTGAATGCATCTTGTTCTGCTGCATCTGAACCTCCCCGGCTCATTAACAGCGATTCCTACAACCATTATGCGGCGGTAAGATTCGACCACGGTGGTCCAAGGTCATGCTAAATCTCATCGCAGCAAGCATCGATTTCCCGCGCATCTCGATCGCTGCCTTGCAAACATATGGGCCTCAAGGACGCACTTTTCGGCTAGATCTAGATCGAAATAGTACAGCCGAAGAGCCGCCTTTTCCACAACCTTCTGGATTGGCATCCCAATTGGGGACGAATGCGCAAGTTGCATCCCAATGAAGCTCATCAAGAAGCTGTTTGGCATTCGACTTAGGGATGTGCCATTTCCAAGTCAAGGCCTCGATATCCAAAAGAGCAGGTGGTATCACGTGGTTAATATTACATATCACCAGTTTATTTCCGTGCAGCCAAAACTTGAATTCTGGTTCCTCTTGACGTCGAACAAATTTCATCCACTCTTCACCATACAAGCTCATGAAAGTAATCACGCTTAACCGCCTCCAATAAAGCTTGTTCCTTCTAGATTTTTGTTGGAGCTTGAAGATCACATATGCATAATTATTAAGATATGCAGCTAGAAACCAGCATCCTTTGTAGTAGAAAACTGCACGACTACTATACTTGCTAACATACATTGGGAGCTTTACATCCACTATAAAGCTCCACCACCTGGCATCGTTACCAATCTTGCTCAAGTTGTAGAATTGAACTCCACCTGAATGGTGAATATCTGCAAATACTTGTTCTTTATCCTTGAATTCAACTTGATGCAGCTTAACATGCCACTCATTGTCATTTTCCCATATCTGCCATCTCCATGTTTTAGAATCGAACACTGCGACATGCTTTGGACTCTTTTCCAGATCATATTTGCGCCTATTGAAGTCTTTCACCATTAGGATGCAAATCTTGTAACTCCAGCAATTTGGATCTACAAACAATGTCGTGCAAATCCAAGTATTACAATTTTCTAGTCTTTTTTGCAGAGGCAGCTGTTTCCACACTCTTGTCATCGGATTTCCAAACCACAAGCTGTTATCGTTGTCAGAACTGCAAAATACCAGACCTTGATGGGAAGCATGACAGTTGAATCGAAAGTACGGGAAAGGAACAAACTGCAACCTGATTCGAGCGTCTGGCGACCATAACTCATATTCATCATCAAACTTTTCGACAAAGTCCAAAGGCAGAGGTATAGGTGGACGCTCCTTATTCTGAAGTACCGATATACTGGACAAGACCCAAACTTCTTCACCTTCTGTTTGCAGCTTCTGCTTCAATTGCGCTAGGGCGCAGCTGCCCACTTCTCGAATAACCATATCCCATGATTTACAAACTGCTCTACATCTAGCAAGATCAGCTACTGCTGGAAGGTAGCGTGGCGACAACACCAATGTCTCCATCCTGTTCGCCCTACCCTTTTCTCCGACTTGAGTATATTTATTGTAAGGGTGATTTGAAATTAAATGTTCCACGTTCCACATAGTCTCTTTCCTACAAAATTTATCGGCAACTTCTTATTACACTGCACAGATTTCCCGATCAGACAGCTCCTGTGGAGAAGAGCAGATTGGTAACAACACGTTGATTTACACATGTCCCACCTTGAAGAACGCAAGCGGAGCTTCTTCTGAGAATCTCTTCAAGAAGTCCACCAGATTGACCTGCAATGTCGGCGTCGCCAGAAACACGCTTGCATATCACGTAATTATCGTAACGCTTACCTAATTGATTGGATCGACTTCAGCGCTTGGTTCGTCACCACCCTGGAAAACGAAACAAATATCAATGCCACAGCTTTTTCTCCAGGGATTAGCTCTAACCACGTCGCCATTCAAAACGTCTACGAAACGAATCAGCAGGCTCGAAAACAGACCGCAGCGATTGGCTAGCACTACATCTTAACACATCATCCTGAGAGAAGCTGAATACTTTGGAATTCGAACATTTAGATTTACCTCATCCACTGGCTGCCTCTTGTCCTTCGACTAGACCACGAGCCAGGAGGGAGAAAATCTGAAGGAAGGTTTGTCAGCGTTAAAGCCATTCATAATCGATCAAACCTTTTGAAGTGCGGAAACTCTCGTAAACTGGTCTGGTTGCAATTTGGATTTCGACCTTGTCTTGTAGCCTGTAGACACAATAATAGAAAAAACAGAATCCTAGGAAAAACACGAAAAACACGAGCTTTGTTGCGGTTTTTGCGGTTTTTTGTGAAGAATGGTAATAGACCTTACCTTGTCTTGAGGAAAGACGGTGAAGTAATGCTTCTTCACGTTAGGTGAAATCCGTTAAAGGAAGCGCTGCAAGGAAAAGAGAAGAAACTAAACGTTCCAAGGATATCTGACGCACTCCCAGCGAGAAATCGTTGTTCAGTGTGATTCTGGCGAGAGCAATGCCATATCCTGCCAGGAGAATCCAAATTTACTCCAATGACCATGCGAGAGGGGAGAAAAACCTGTCTTTCTTGATGCCTCCGTAAGAGCGCCTCGCTCCCAGATTGGGATCCAGCATCGCATTCAAGCAGCTGACTAGCCAGCGATCATTCGCCGCTACCATTTCGCTCCGCATTCACATTCCCCGACGAGAGAACGATTCTATAACGCAAAACCCTTTGCAAAACCCCTAGCAAATGCTAGTTCGTTTGGTGCTTATACATCTCTTCTATGTAAGAAATTTTTGCAAGCTTGACACGTCCAATGCCTTGAATCCAGAGACCACTTCCATGACAAACGATCCCAGCTTTTGCGCAGCGTCTTTCGTGGGAGCCTGGATTCATCCAAACTTTCAGTGCCTGTTTTAAAATTTCTTTCACTCACCTCGATGTTCAGTGGCAGCACAGGGTCGTGCAAAGACAGCCTCAGTAAAAACCATCCTCCATGTCCCGAAACTCTCACCTGGATCATCCAGCAGTGAATGAGATTTGGAAGAGAAACAGAACGAGGAAGAGAAACACTCACCCCTTCGTAGTTCTTTGGGGCCTTGGTGAGATTACTATCGGAAGACAATGACTCCTCCAGGCGACGCAGAACTTCCTCTCCATACTCTCGAAATGTTCTGCACATAAAGAGAGAGGAACAATCACAAAAAAGTGGAAATCAAAAGACTCACTTGGAGCCAACGTCTTGATGGCTCTCGTTGATTTTTAGCCGGAACTCCGTTGCAAATCCTGCCTCCTCAAGACTTTCGATCAGTCTCGTCAGCACTTCACTGCCCTCGCCCTCCCCTGCTGCTTTTCCAGCGGCAAGCTTGATAAGAAGCTTTACCTGGTACATGAAAAGAAATCATACAATGCTTCTCCAAGAGAGAATACAAATTTACCATCAAATAAGCACCATCATCCAGCCAGCGATTTTCTTTCAATGCTCCGTGCCCGCTCGTCTCAATGGCTAGATGGGACTCCTCACCCACCGAGTTCTACAACCATTTTGCGTTAGTTGAGCTGAAAGTTTGTGTGACATGACTTTGTCATTACCAAGCGTATGCCTTCATCAATCACATTTTTGTATCCTCTCTTGAACCGGTGATGCTTTCCCCCTGTAAAAGGAACAGGACAGATTCAATCACACCGTTGCATATTTGATCAATACATACCCAGTTTCTTCTCGATGAATTCTGTGAGGCCATCTGAAGTGATGCTGTCGGTCACAATTGTTGTCCCGGGATGCTGTCGTTTGAAAACTTTCAAGCTGTTACCAAAACTGTGAGAAGGCAATTTGCACACACCTCGGCCAAAACAATGGCAGAAATAAGTGCAATTAAGCGATTACGATTAAGTTCTCTGCCGCTGGAGTCCACTGCAGCAGATCTATACGCAAAAGTTACTTCCAAAAGAACAAGGATGGAAACGAAAATAAAGAAACCTGTCAACATCCGTGTCAAATATGATCCCCAAGTCCGCCTTGTGCTTGAGAACAGCACTTGTCACGGCTTCCATTGCTTTCTTGTCCTCAGGATTGGGAATATGATTCGGAAACATGCCTGCCAAAGTCCAGATGTACAAACTTCATTTCTCAAACAGAGTTTCGTACCATCCGGCTCCAAAAACTGACTTCCGGTCGTATCTGCTCCAAGAGGCTTCAACACTTTCTCCTGGAAAAGTTTGAGTCAGGACACAAGAGCTGCATGGTGAAAAATATATCAGTACCGCAAAGAAACCACCAGCACCGTTTCCTGCATCTACAAGAATGTGAAATCCTTCGAGCGGACGTTCTGCATGCAAGGAAATATTTTTAAAAAAATTTAAGAAACACAGAAAAATAAGAAAATCACAACACCACAAATTGTAAGCCCACCTTTTCCACCGGCAGCTTGAACAATTTTCACAAGATCGCTCGCGTAGTGGTCCATGTAATTCACTCTCTTCATGTCCTTGGATGTCACGTTTCCTTGCGAGGAGCTTCCGCTGTGTATCTGAGCAGCACGGCTTAGGATGTCGCTTATATCAGCCTTCCCAAGACCACCGGTGTTGGTGAAAAACTTGAAACCATTCCTGTTGTAAGGAAGGTGGCTGGCTGCAATAGGAGAGAAACGTGAAATCGTATTCCACGTCTTGGAAATTCTCTTACTTACCTGTGATCATGATAGCACCATCAGCTGGGCATAAGAGATCCTCCCTTTCCGTCACTGTGCTATTAAACATTGCCGGGGTCGATGCCAGCCTACAAGAAACACGCCAGATTATCAACGAGTTTAAGAAATAAATCACACATACCCGTACAAAACAACGTCCAAGCCAGTATCACCGATGCCTTGAGCAATTGCTTGCTACGTATTTTGATAGAAAAAAAAAGCAAGAAGAAGAAGTCGTCAAAGGAAAGAATCACTAACATAGGCATCAGACCTCGAGGGAGCTCGCAGATATTCTTGAATCGTGGCCGATTGAGACGCGTAAAGCACTGGACGTGGATTCTTTTTTCTTATCAGCCAGCCATTGCGCAAATGCAGCACCAATCGCTTTGGCGACGTCCACTGTCAAATTAACAGCCTCTTCTCCACCAGCAACAGCGACTCCACGTATGTCACTGCGAAGAAATAGCAAGAAGAAAAGAAAAAAGTGGTGTTTGTGACGTGCCAGAACGAAGCAAGCGACTACCTTCCATTCTGAAGCTTCCTAAAGTCAATCTTCTCCACAACAGTGGATGCGTTGTATGTCCCTGCAAACATTCCAAAAAGATCTATCAGCTTCTTCCCCTCCTTCCAATCGAGAATCCAAGCAGCCAAAAAAAAAAAAGAAGAAAAGAGAAGAAGCATCAAAGCCAATTCGCTACCAGCACAACTTATGACCACTTGCGCGGAACGCTTGATCGGACGAGAACTCCGCCCCGTTACACTTATTCTCTCGAATTTGAGCTGCGCAAAGCGAGGGCACCGCAAATCATGCACGGCAGCATCACTCAGCTTGGTTCCTAGCAGCGAAGAAGAAGAAAGAGCTGCATTCAAAGAAAACACAAAATTCGACTGGATCAAAGGGCCCTGGACTCGCTAAAGAGAAATCCAAATCCATGCAAGCTCATCCCAGGAGAGCGCATTTGTGAATGGAGAACGCTCACTCACCAGCCATGGGCGATCCAATCTGGAGAGGCTTCGACGCCGGAGCTCCCAACGCGTTAAATATCCATTCCACCAAGTAGACAATACTAAAGAACCCTAGCTCTCTTTGATTCTAGACCTCTCAAAAGATTTCCAGCGAAACCATGTATGATATTAGAGTTCGTGCTTGGAACAATTAGAGATGGAATTAAAGGACGTTGTTTTGATTTGAGAAGCTAGCTATAGCTCACAAGGAGAGTATCACCATCATACAAATTTTACGATAGCTTTGTCCACTCACTCTAGAGTGCCTGCACTCACGACAAGAAGAGCAATGGAAGAACTTTAGTGCCGTGACAAATGCGATGGAAACTGTGTTGTTACCTGCTGTGGCAAGTAACTCATGCTGGTGTACATACTCGACTGGAAAAATCGAAACAACGCATCGTCAGTGACGATGAACAAGCTAAACTTACGCAAGAACACACCTGGACAGGAGATGGAACAGCCATGCTCTGGTCCTTCTTGCCTTCTCCCTTGACTCCCGATCCTTTGTCTCCCTGCGATTTTTTTAGAGGTTTTAGAACTCATCCTCGAAGATCCAAAACAAAACAAGTGATTCTCACCTCCGTCTGATTCCACAAGAGCCATTGGAGTGACAAACATGACACCCTGTTAGCCTCGAGAAGAAAGAAAAGCTAGAGCTCCGTTACCTCTCTGTACTTTTGCAAGTAGATCTTCAAAGGTTCCAAGTACTCCTCGAAGCCCAGCGTGCTCATTGCCCATAGCAAGTCATCGCCATTGATCGTCTTCCTCTTCTCTCTTTGGCACTTGTCACTGGCTCTGCAAAGTAGAAGAAGATAGTATCACCACAAAGGATCGAAAGAACTTCCAGCAATACTTACTCGCTAGTGATGAAGCTGATGAACTCTGAGACGCATTCTTGCACCGTCTCCTTGGCATCCTTGGCGATCTTTGCATTCGCCGGCAGCGCCTTCTTCATTATCCGGCTGATGTTGGCGATGGGAAGGAACCTGTCTTGCTCCCTTACGTTGGAGTTGTCGCGTTCGCCACCATGGCCACCAGCGTCGTCCGAGTGTGGGCTATCCTGGCTCCTGGGACTTCCCACGTCCGCCATCCTTTTTTTCCTGCAAAGCACAAGAGAGAGAGAAGGAAAAAAAAGGTTAGAAAAACGCGCGTGGCCAGTTTTTCCAAGCCGAGAGAAGTCAAATGCTGTGCCTGACGAAAAAAACAACAAAAAAGAAAGAACAAGAAAAACTCGGCCCTCTTCTCTCCCGAAAGAACAACAAAGCTTTCTCGCCCCTTCGCTGGCTGGGCTGCCGACGTAACAACGCCATAAGCAGCAGTGCCACAACAATCAAAAACAATGAGCGAGAGCGAAAAAAAAAACATCTTTGAGCGGCACTGCGACAAAAACCAAGAAAAAACCTTCCACTGGAAACGCACACACCCTCTACCTAGCGCGACCAAGAAACCATAACAAGGAAAAAAAAGAAAGCAATTTCCCACACACCGAGAGGAGAAGCTCAATCCGGCTCCACCGAGTAGCAGCCCCTGGAACACCAGCGCCTTCTCCTCCTCCCCCTCCTCCCTTCTATCCAGAAACGAGAATCACAAGAAGAAGAATCCCTTCCCGCATTGCCGAGGATCATCCTCAGCTAAAACCCAATCAATCAATCCGGGGGGAGACACAGAGACGCAGGCATCGGCAATCGCAGCGCCCGCCACAGGGAGCGCCGAGAGCTCGCTCGCTCGCCCGCGCCTCGGCGCTAGGGTAGAAATCACACAAGCACGCGGCACGCCACAAGCAAGAAAAACAAAGCCCCTTTCCCTTACGTGTGTGGTCTCTGATGGGCAGTGTGCGTCTTCTTCTTCGTTGCGATGCTGCCACTTGGTGAAATAGCGCCCCTCCTCCGCCTCCAAGATCGAGCGCGTTGGTTGCTCCCCTTACTTCCCCTTATCGCCGCCGTTCATCCACCGGCCTCCATATCCCCGCATGCCCATGCATGGCCCCCATGCCTGCCCGCCCTGCCTGCCCGGCCCCTGCCGCGCGCCACGTCATACGGGCAGCGGAGTAGTGCGGCATGGCCATGGGCCTGCCTGCCCGGATAGCGATGGGCGCCGGTACGAATCCTGGGAACAGCAGTCCAATATTTTTTTTCTTCTCTCCTCGTGTTTGCTTAAAAAACGTTCTCCAGTGAGATCTCTTCTCTTCTCTCATTTTTTTAGAGCTCGTCCTTGACCTCCTCCTTCTTGGGAGGGGCGGCTGCCTCCTCTGGAGCTTGAGACTTCGTCTTCTCGGATTTTGGTAGCGTGAATGGGATCGCGGCGTTCTTCTTCAAGAACTGGTAGAAGGCTTTGACGCTCCTGTCCGCGTCCACTGTGATCTGCGACGCAGCCAGAGTTTTTCTCAGAGAGAGATCTCATGACGAAAAGAATTGCGTGCTTACCGGGTCAAAGCTCTTCTTGTTAGCGGGAAAAAACAAGAGCGTGGGAAAACCATCCGACTGCACCAACACGACAACCGTGTACGTAAGGAAAAACAAAAAGAGATGAAGTGAAATGAACAGAGGACCACATCACACGAACCTTTGCCCTATGGTGTTCGTTTGCTGTTCCGTCCATCTTGGCAATCACCAGAGATTTGACTTCTCGGAGCCGAGCTGCGAGCTTGTTGTAGATGGGCTCCAGTGCTTGACAATGCCCGCACCACGGAGCATAAATCTGCGAGGGGGATTCGTGGCGAGAGGAAGAATGTAGAATATACAAGCTAAGATATAGCAGTGTACCTCCAGCAAGACATCCTTGGACTCGTCCAGAACAATCTCGTCGAAGTTGCTACCCACGACGATTTTTACATCTCCATCATTCTACAAGCACTGTCTGATGAGCCCACTGTCTGAAATCATATAGGATTACCTTCTCTGGTACTGGTTCAGATTTATAGAATTGCTGAAGCTTATCTGCCAGAAAGTCCTCACCAAAAGCCTGCCAGAAAAAAAGAAAGTTCAGTACACAGAAAGTGGACGTGGCAAAAGAAAACCACCTTGAGGTTATCTGTGCTGATATCCTTATCCAACATAAACTTTCGTTGCTCGTCCGGAGAAAATCCCATCACCTGAAAGATTATTTGGTAAAATCAAGATATTTCTAGTGTAGCTCCTACCTTCGGCTTCTCAGCGGTGATACCAAAATACTCAGTGATCTGTGCCGCATCCTCTCCCGCAGTGTCAACATGAACAAAAATAAGCTGTCCCACCAGATGCTTTATGAACGAGCAGAGACATAATGAAAAGCACTAACCTTTCCTTGTAATGCTTTTGCCGCAGATTGATACGAAGGATACAACGATTTGAAATCTTCGCCACCAGCAAAAAGGAGAAGCTGGAGTAAAAAAGTACCAAGTTTAAATATCCCACTTTGAACACCATACCTGTTTCTTTATCGGGTTGTCAAATATCAAACTAGAATTCTCCCCACTAAAAACAATAACCAAAGGCAATTTATTTGTTGAGACGAACTGTGAGATTGCATCTTTCTCGAACTTGCCATCTGTGATAATCAAGGTCAGAAGTTAGATCGCCTTGTACATAAAATACAAATACCAAAGTGAGAAGTTGTCTCGTGCTCCTTTTTCAGAAGAACCACCGCTGGCCTCTTCTTCGTTTTCAGTTCAAATCGTTCCGCAACTTCTGCCTTCGTAGTTTGATAGAACAACACATTATCGTCTTGACGTGCAGCAGCAGCGAACTCCTCGGCTTCAGCACCCTGGGAACTAAAACAGTGAGATACCATCAGATCAACTATAAACTACCTCCAAGCTGCTCAAGAAAGCGACAGCGATTGGGCTTCCAGCTGCCAGAATCGTCTCGGCATCAGAAACAGAATCCACATTTGTAACAGCAGGCCCGGTCCTCTTCTTTATCCACTTGATGATCTCATCCCTGAAGAAAAAGAATACGAGAATATAAAGGTTTTCACGCAGAGACCTCGCTTACCCAGTCCGGTGCCCGGAGTATGAGCGCTTCACACCATCCACGAAGAAGAAGATGGTTGGAAATCCTTGCACCTCATGCTCCTGGGACAAGTCGTGCTCCACGGTAGCGTCTACTTTGGCAAGAGCCACTTCACCTTTGAGCTTGGTGGCGGCGTCGGCGTACTCTGGAGCTAGCTGCTGGCAGTGGCCACACCACGGAGCATAAAACTCCACCATCACGAACTTGTTCTTCTTGATGAAATCGCTGAAGTTGCCGCTGCCGAGCACCACCACGTCCTTATCGTCCACGGCTGGATACTGCTCGTCCTCCCAGGATCCATAATCCTCCTCCTCGGGCCCCTCCTCGGCAAGATCGTGAGCAGCGGCCTTGTGCTGCGGCTCGTCCTCGGCGTCCAGATCTTCCAGATCGTCGGCATCCTCGGAATGTACCTGGATGAAGCTCGCGCATGCCAGCAGCGCCGCGAGGAGGAGCACCAAGAACAAATGCCGGTTTCTTGCCATGTCTAGCCGAGGATCGGTGACTCTTGCGCAGATTCCCTAGAATCCCGAGATCGCGAGCATAAGAGATCCAGATCCACAATGCGGCCACAAGAAATCGAAGATCGCGAGAAAGAGAGACCGTACCTTCACAGCAATCGCATCCCTGAGCTCCGAGAGGCCGGATAGGTCACAGTCTCTCCACTCTTACACATCCAATTCTCTTTGATTTGTTTAAACCAGATGAGAAAGTCAAGACCAAAAGTCGACACGTGGACGAACATGAGCCCTTCAAACAAGCGGCTGAGATACGGCTCACGTATCATATGGTTTTAATTTTGTCGCGAACGTTTATCACGTAGTACGATAGCAGTCCGTGAAGATCCACTTCATGGCTCCAGCAATGGTGAGAAGTTTCATGTAGTGCATTCCAGCGAATCTGGGCGGCATCTCCATCGGACTGATTAGAACTGGCGATTGAACGTCGGCAAATCCATCCTCGGCAGCGACCAAAGTTACGTCGCTCTTGATCCACTTGGGGGCCGAGTCCGAGATCACCAGATCGTCCACAAATCTCGGCTTCCTCCCACGGTCCAGGAACTTTGCCCGGGCTCTCTCCGGGACCAGCTTCAAGGCCTCTTGAAACGTTCTCTCGTTGAAACCGGCAGCGATCCTGGACGATGGCGGTGATGGAGCTTCATCGTCCTTTTGATCGTCAGCTGCTTTAAAAGCTGTGATGATCGCTTCCCTGCTCTTCATTTTGATCCACAAGCTCCGCACCACCTGAAAGTTGTCTTGGCTCTTCAAGTACGTGTTGACAAACACCTTGCGTGCTGGCTTGTGCTCGATCCACGGCTTGGAGTAGACAAAGTTGTCTTCGTAGTCGTGCTGGATCACAGAAACCTGGCCCTCGCTCAAAACTTGAGGCGATACCTTTGCGAGATCCAGCTGATAGTTCTTCACGCCGGATGATCCCTGCTCTTTTATCGCCTCCCAGTAACTCCTACACATCTCGTGTGTGTTCTTCACAGCTTTTTCCAGCTCAAGCAACGCACTCGCGCTCTCGGGAGCAGCATGTACCGTGACGAAGGCAGCGATCAATCTCCCAACATCAGCTCGAGCTTGCTCGATTGGTATCTCGGCGTCGAGGTCTCCTCTAGCTTTGTTTGGAACTCCGTGCGAGACCTGTGCATGGTTCATGCCGGGGATGGCCACCACGGGCTTCCTTCCATAAGTGTTGAAGCTTCCCATCTCTTCCTCGACGTCGAAGATCTCTCCTGCATGCTTGGCAATCGCTCCCAACGTGATCTGTCCATCCAGCTCCCCGCTCAAAGTGAGAACCGGCTTTGGATACTGGCTCAGATTATCTGGATTCGTGTGGAAGCAGCTTCCAATCTGGATGAATCCTTGAGCACGACCCACTGCTACTGCTCTTCCAGTCCAGGCTCCCCAGCTGAGGCACCATAGCTCGTTTAGATCATCACAAAGATAAGAAAAAAAAAGTGAATCGCGCACCTGTGGCCTGCGATGAAGATGTTATCCATTGCAAGCTGTCCTGGACGAAACCCACGGTCTTTCATCCTCTCGAGAATTCCATCCAGGCTTTGCTCGATGATCTCCTGGGAAATCACGTTATTTGGAGGATTGACAATCGCAATCCACATCCGGAGCTCGCAAGAGCGTTGGATCTCCTGGCAAAGCGGGATGTAATCGCTCGCGGGCGTCAATGCGCCAGAAGCGAACACGATAGCCACATCCTGACCTCCCTCCCGGACTGGCTCGAGGATCTAGAGGTAAGAAACGAGCACAAATTTCCATCCGGTAAGCCGAGACAGAAGATCCACTTACGATTGCATTCGCAGAGGAGTCGAAATCTTGCAGGGGCGACAATGCCGCCTGATGATCTGGGATCGCGCGAGCGCTTTGGGAGAGCGCGATCGCCGACGTCGTCGCCGCGGAATTGGCTGCCAATCCGGCACAGCTCCCAGACGCCATGGCCGATCGCCTGGAATGGGGCACGCGGGCGCAAAACCTAGAAACCTGGCAGCTGGAGAAAAGCAAAGGCTTGAGAACGAGAAGAGCTCTCATCCCTCCTTACGTGGCAGCATCTCATATTACACAAGAAAAAGTTACCTATATAGTAACTGACAGCATTTGCCCAAGCTCCATGAGCTCTTGGTGAGATTTCGCGTGGAAAACGATTTTACATTAGTAAGAACGTTTGTAAAGTAGACATGGACACCTAGACACATGTCTTTTGGTCATGGCGAGCGGTAACGAAGAGGAGAAGAAGGAGCAATCCACATCCAAGACAAGGATCTTAATCGCTGTGAGTCACTCATCGATCAAGGGCTATCCCCACGCATCGATCAGCAGCGACACAGCTTTCCACTGGGTGCTCGACAAGCTCGTCAAGCCCACCTCCTCCTCCATTGGCCATCGCCGCGAGGATTTCGAGCTTAGCATCCTCCACATCCAGGTCCCCGACGAAGATGGTCAGTGAGATCTCTCTCGCTCGATCGCTGTTTGATCTTTAGCGTTTCTTCTCTCCAGGGCCGGACGACGATCTCGACAGCGTGTATGAATCCGCCAGTGACTTCCACAGCATGAAGGAGCGGGAGCTCACGCGGGGGTTGCATTTGCTGGAGCATTTCGTTCGGATTTGCGACGATGCAAAGGTAGATCTCACAAAGAACCTTTGATGAACTCCAATTTTTTTTCTTCTTCTTGCAAAGATCCCCTGTAAAGCTTGGATCAAAGCAGGCGATCCCAAGGAGCTCATCTGCAAAGAGGCTGCCAAGCTCCAGCCGGACATGCTAGTGCTTGGCAGCAGAGGTCTCAAAACGATGCAAAGGTAGAGTCCTCTTCTCACTCAACTCCCAAGTTCTTCCGGGGATCACGCAAGCTTTTCTCGTGCAGGATGTTTGTTGGTACCGTGAGCCTCTATTGTACCACCCATGCAACGTGCCCCGTGCTAGTGATCAAGAGAAAGCCACAGGACACGCCAGATGATCCTATGGATGACTAGATGATCCAAACAAAGTGGACTATGATCGTTTGCTGTTATTCAACCAAAGCACAATAAAACAATGTGAAAAAACAAAAAGAAGAGATAGAACTTACCTCTCACGTAGTGTAGCCAAATCTATAGTAGCGTTGACCGAGTCTGTCCGGAGGAGGCAGCGGCGGAGGAGGAGGAGTGCACGGCGGCGGAGACGAAGGCAAAGGCGGAGCTTGGAGGTAGAACAAGTGCCCGTCGTAGTGCCTGGCCCAGTTTATCTCCACCACCGGCGAGACGTCTTCCATCTCGAGCTCGCCATCGACTTGCTCCAAGACGTGGGGGTACCTGGATTGTCCTGCCGGGTCGGGAGCTAGCTCCTCGTCCTGTCCTCCAATTTTTCCACCGTTATACTCGTCGTCTTCCGGGCCGCGCTGCATTGCCAGGCCCGGCAAAGGAAAGCTGGCGTTGCTGCAATTACAAGACAAGGACTGCGTGAGCGCGTTTTCTCAAAAATTCTCTTTCTCTATCACCTGCCATATTCGTCGACTTGCATGCCTTCCATCTCCCGGATTGGATCGTTGAGCGGGCGCTCGGTTCTACACGGACGCTGGCCGGCGTTCAAGTTGGCTGGCTTGTCGGCGTCGTGAAACTCGATCTCGCGCATGAAGTGCCGGACAACGGACTCTGGGAAGACGTTGCGTTCCAGCCACTGCTGGAGAACCTGGAAACGATTCGTGTCAGAACATCGGCATCCTGATAGAGATTCGTTACCTTTAAACACTGCCTTCGATTCTCTCTCGCAAAGTTGCCAGGAGGAGCTGCAGCACTTAACAGGCGGGGCAAGGTATTTTGTATCAAGGAACTGTACGCTCCAGCGGCCGTTCCTGAAATTGTTTACGGGTTTCAAAGAACACAAACAAGAAAAAAGCTTTTATCATTCTCACACCTTTCTGGTTATGTGACCATTGCGCTATAGAGTCGATTGCCAGGAACAAGTCAATGCGCCTGTGAAAGCTTTTTTCCGTTTCCAGCCTTCTGGCTATAATATCAATCGCCTACATGACAATGAGAGAGCTTCAGAGATCAATGATAGTAACGAAAAGAAAGAATAATACCTGTTCGCTGGTTCCAAGCCTTGCACAATCAACCGCTTGACGAGTAACACGGCCGATACTATCTTTGGCTCTTGAGAGATTGTCCAGCAAGCCTTCAAGTGCATCTTGTGCCGAATCTGCCTCCGCACTGCATGTTTATCACTTGACATTATGTCCGAGCGAAATAAAAGAGGACGATTATTTACCGTGAAGATTATAAGTGTTAGTGAATTCTCCAACGAAAACATGTTCAACCTCAGAGCAGCTTCCCGGTGCGGGTCAGACTTTCTGGAATACAGCATCGAGGGAACCGAAAAGTTCTGCTTGGAATGAGAAACGGCAAGATAGTATTTCATGGAGGTTGAAGGAGCGGAGGTATTCTTGGAAGCAAGCTTTTGCTTCTTCTCTTTGGCAGCTTCATATCTGCAAAAACCAGGAGATAGATTAGCAACACCGAGGAGTGTGCCTGATGCAAATGACTTACGCTTCTCTGACCCTGTTGACGTCTTCGCAATAAAACCGAGAAGCTGAGTGCGTTACGTTCAGGTAGTCCACGCTCAGCTCGTGATCTTCTACTGCGAGATTGTTCCGTACCAGCCTCCTCTTGAACAAAGTGCGCCTCGGCAAATGTTCCTCCCTTGATGTTTCACATCCGAGCTGAGCCTTTTGATTCTTCAGCTTTTTTAGCGTTGTATCAGGTCGCAAAGTCTTGGGACCCTGTAAACTTTTTACAGGCACGTCTGCTCTGCTACTTCCTTTTTCGTTTTTCAGGAGTCGACTGGATCTCGAAGTTGTTCCTGCTTTTGGCTTGGCAGCTTCTTCATCTTCGGAGCCTTCAGTACCACCTGTCATCGCTTCTAAGACTCGCTGGCGACGTTTACACGGAGGAAGAGGTGCCTCACTGTCTGTCAAACTGCTTCGTAGGCGATACTTTTCAGCTTTCAACGGAAATTGCCTCTTGTCGCCCATGTTTGACGTCTTCAAATCTTGCAAATCTTGCAAATCACTGCCTTCGAGACACTGCTTCTTTGGAAATCGTTTTTGTCTCGGTTCGTGCCAGGGTTTTCTGTCACAGCATCCTTCATGAATAATGCGAGCACTGGCCCTCTTTACCAAAGGAAGATGTTTGTCTGAGATCTCCTCCACCACCGGTTCGGGTCTTTTCCTTTGTTCAGACCAGCCTGTTCGTTGTTTCTTTACTGCTGCTGTTTTCAGCTCGCCTGGTTTTCTCTCCAGAGAGTCACCAAATCCCTCCGCATAATCAGGATCATCATCGTCTTCATCGCTATCACTGCTAGAGCTAACCTGGAAGAAAACAAACAGATCAAGACTCTTCAAGATACAATGCCACACTTACAACTTTTGCCTGTAATCTTTTTGTCGCAATCTGCCTCTTCCTCTTTTGACAGATTTTGATTGATGAGAAGTTCAGCGTTCTCCTCCGAAACTTGGTCGACGATCTAGAGCTGTGTCTCAGCCAGCTGAATTTAGGAGGATGTTGCTGCGGTTCCTGCAGATCGCTTTTCTCCTTCTCATCCTCCTCAAGAACACCATTGTTGAAGGAATCCAGCTCTTCGTGAAAAGCGAAGTTTGTAAGCACTTTGTCCACAAGCGGCACACCCTGGTTCTCCCCTTCGAGCATGCTGTTGCACGAGTTCGTACACGAAGACTCCCAGTCTCTCTGGTTCAGATGGCTGTCTCTTCCATCGGTTCGCTCTTCAATCTGGACTGTGCTCCTCTTTCTCTTCCCTCGTCCACTGTCAGGCCTAGAAAGATGGACGTTCGCTCCATTCCCTTTCCTGGATTCCAGTGACTGAGCCAAGGTACCAGCTGCCTGGATGGTGTCCACGTTACTGGAGCTCTGCACGTCATTGTCTTTGTCACTCCCGGGTTGATCGAGCTCCCTCGTCACTGTTAGCTCTCCACTTTCGTCAGCCACCTCGCATATCTCCTTCACTGCTCGTTTGAGATCCGAGGGGACGCATTTCGATAGCGTCCTGGCATGAAGCGCGGCTCTGGCCTCCACAGTAAAGGCTGAGATCTCCGAATGCTGGCAGAAGCGTCTGTAATGAAGAAACCGATGAGGAACGAAAGTTGGATCACTCGCAAGAGCTGGGAAAAAAAAGGAAAGAAAAAAGTTCTACAATCGTTACTCCTCTCACAAAAGAAAAGCATCACAAGAACATTGCATTGTCTCTTACATTTGCTTCGTTCCAAAGAAGACCACGAAAACCTTGGCGGGATTGCGCTGCCGCCCGAAATCCTCTGCCCTGCTGACCTGTGCGTCCATCAGTTCCTCACGAATCAAGGATTTTCACAGCGCGGTGGAGCAAGAGCAAATGCGGCACGGATTTTCGCTCGTACCTGAGCCGGCCACGCCGGGAATCCCTTCACTTTGGCAAGAACAAGGTCGCCGATCTTCCATTGCACAGCTGCGATGGCGGCCGAGGATCCCTTGGCCCGTTTCTTGGCCATCGCTCTCGTCCCAACTGTCCCCTTTCCCTAAACGAATATCCGGCTATAAGTTAGCAAGCAAATGTTAGGGTTTTGAGAGGGCAAAGAAGAGGTAATGGCGACGGCGGACATGGATGCTGTGGATTTCGAGCCGGAGGAGGACGATCTCCTCGACGAGGATGTGGCGATGGAAGACGTGGAGCCAGCGCCGCAGCCCAGGGTGAGATCTACGATTATTGGGGGCGCGCCCAAGCACACCAAGGGGCGGGGGTTTCGCGACGAAGGTAGCAGTGATCGCTCCAACAGGTTTGCCCGGGATTTCGATACCATTGTCTCGGACGACAAGGACGGCGCCCAGAAGTGTAAGCCCTAGCTCTCGCTTCATCTTTCTTTTTCATCCTTTCTTTCCCATCGTTTACTTGGATTGAAACGCAGCTATCGAGGGCTGGATCATTCTGGTGACTGGCGTCCACGAAGAAGCCCAGGAAGACGATGTGCACGAGATGTTCGCCGACGCTGGAGTGATCAAGAATCTCAACCTTAACTTGGATCGAAGGACTGGTTTTGTCAAGGTACGATTTTTTTCTTCCAGAGTTCCAGGTTCTGAGCTCCTTGTTCCAGGGCTATGCTCTCATCGAGTATGAGCACAAGGAAGAGGCCCAGGCAGCCATTAGCAACTTCAACGGAGCCGAGCTGCTGACACAAACCATTAGCGTCGACTGGGCTTTCAAATCCGGGCCTTCCTCGCATCAGTCCTCTCGAAGCAATCGCTCCAGGAAAAGGTACTCTTGGGCGTACAACTCCTCTTTTCTTCTTACTGAATTCTCGTCTCAGGTCTTCTCCTCGAAGCCACAGGTCCCGAAGTCCTGCAAGGCGAAGGTACTGAGCCATCGAGAGACGAGGAGAGAAAGAACCACAAGCATTGGGAGAGATCTTAGCGGTGTAGGCCATCAACGCCTACATCTTCTACATAGCCAATGTGAGCATTGCAAAAAGATTTCTTTTTTGACATCGTTCTAGTTTGTATTTTATAGACAGCCCTTTGATCCCTTTTCTTTCAAACAGTGTTGGATCTATTTACAATTTGGATCTTTGATCATTTCATTTACAAAATCAATCTACCCGCGCAAGTTTCTTACCCCCGCCAGGAATAGTGGATTCGATTTTCATATGGTTACTGTGTGCTAGAGACACGAACGGTCCAATTCAGTTGGAAAGCATGATCGCTCCATTAGAAACGGTTAATGCCCCCACTCCTTCTCATAATTAAGTATAGATTAATTTGGAGAAACTGCGTCCCGTGCGTGTCCTTTGTTTCCCGCCTTCTATCTCACAAAAGATTCCCAAAACCGATACCTTCCGATACCTTGTGCTGCTAGCCCACGTAGTAGAGATCCTTGAGCGCATTGAAGTTTATGATGAGGTACTTGGTGATCTCGTCCGCGTGCTTGGCGGTGTTAGGGCAAGAGCCACAGTGGTCCGGGTGGTAATGCGAGATTGCCCGCCTATACGCGCTCTTGAGCTCACCAACGTCGCGAATATCCCCGAGATTCGAGAGAG